TCCAATGAGATCATCATCGCTGGTGACCCAACAGTTCGTTTTAAAGCTGAGTGAATATATCTCAGTCAGAACGATTGTCGTTTTTCAAAATCAGCAGCGTCAAAAACATTTGACTGTCTGTCCTGATCCAGCAGAGATATGTACATGCGTCCCACAAAGGACACAATGTAAAAAATCGCTTTACTCTCGATGACGACACGTTCATGACATACGCATCTTATTCACGACTGAAGTGTAACCCAAGCCCACAACATATTGCTAATTATCCGACAGCTTGATCGTCGGCAGCCACGTCCATCGTGTGTCTCCGGTGATTTGCGCGTGCATTAGTGCACAATGACGTAGGATTGCGCGATATTTACCATAGTCTTTTTCTCGTCTCTCATCCGCCTTGTCCCAACAGTAGTACGATGTCAAAACGACCGCGATATGGCCGTGGACACGGCGACTGAGAAGATTGAACGACCATCCACACATACCACACATGACCTGCTACATATTTCCTATGGCTGTCCATTGTGAGTGCGACTCAGAACTCATATGAGCGATTGTCATGCACGCAACAGCTAGAAAGAGTCCTTGTAACTTTACTCCCAGTCTTTACAGGGCACTACTTATCCTGCCAGTCGGAAATCTTCTAAGTCAGTACTACAAACGCTTTAGACTCACTGTAGGAAGGAATGAGTCTATGTGCTGTGGGGGGACTGAATTCTCTAGCGTCACCTTCACCCTCCTTTACCCTTCCTATGCACCAGCCGACTGCTTACCTAACAGATGGCCTGATTAGGCACAACGGCTGACTTGGCGTGAACGACGTACTTTTATGCACATGCACAGCAGCAGTTATGCGGTCGTATGAACCCACTGCAGGCCTGTAAACGCGTGTCATAAACCAGTCCAACCCCACATTTCGGTCGACGGCATGTGCAACAAATTCAGACTTCGTGATGGCACTTCTTATCCAAATCTCCAGACTTTAATTATCTCGGATGCACGCCAAGACTTTTCTCACATTAAATTTTTCAAAGATATATAGTATTCTGCACTCCTGTCGAAATGTGCATTGAACGGTACCATGCCAGATTAAAGCAGAAATTCAAGCCTGCCTCAGTTAGTGGCATTAGCGAGCCCTGGTGGTCTTCATGACTACAAAAGGTTATAGGTAGATCGCAGGATCGAGATCTAGATTTTTATACTATACTATGACGACGGCTTATAAGTCAGAAATGGCCATTTTAGGCCCCCTTGTCTTTTTCGGTAATGACATTCTACTTATATCAATCGCCGCTGTGCGGCTGCTGGTTTGACTCGAGAGAGAGAGTCCATAAGGCACAACGGGACGGGTAAGTTTCCTAAGAACGATCGTGAGCGCTCCCCTCTACCATTGTACATTCCCGATCGGAACCAACAGGACAACGAGTCTTTGGCTCAGTGGTTAGAGGCGTTGGACGTCTAACTAACAGGTTATGGGATCGCGCCCCAGGTGCTTCACAGTTCGAGATTCGGTATGACTGACTGACAACGGTTAATAGGCCAGAAATGGCCACTCCGCTCTGCCTTGTCTTTGTCGGTTATAACATTCTGTCCATAATTATCCTTGACGACAATATATGCATTCAGGTATAGTCTGGACGCCCAGACATCCCTCGCCGACCAAATCACATCATAGGGATTAAATTTTTACAGAACTCAACGATCACATATTGTTAATTTGGGATTAATGCTGCATCTGAACAACAAAGACATCAACATGTCCATGAAATCCAGTGCTACCTAAAATATTTATAAGGAAGACCAATAAAGAAGGGAATGGTGACTCAACTCTTGTGAATGACTAGGTCTAGAGCTGCCCCATACGGTTAATGCACGTGGCTGCTTAATGGTGAAGCAAACCTAGATGTAGCTGTCCACCCACGCACATCAACACTTACGATTTTTCAACATGATAGAGGTCAGTTTGGGCGGCCTAGCTAAATGGGCTGAATTTACGACGAAACACACAGCGCACCGCATGTGTGCACTGCTGAGTAACTCAGCACTTACCCACATTTAATGCAGAGATGTCGTATTATATGCAAATGAGAGTGCCATAAACAGTAGGTGTGCCAGCTTATGAAATATTAACCGAAATTCTGAAATGCATTTTCGTTTCGAAAAGATTACTTAAGTGGGGTTTTAAAAGTAAACATCATGAAGCATAATTCTATAAAAATTCAGTTACCCCGGGATGCTGGCTCTAAAAGGGACATCTTTCGGGCCGCATGCAAAAACCATACATAGTTAAAATGACTGCGTTTGTGGCATGCATTTTCTCATTGATTTTTGACGCCCACAAAAAGTCAATTGTATTTCTTGAAAAACGTGCATAAATATATTCCTTTCTTTACTCATTCGGTGAAAAAATGTGTCTTATTCTTATTTTTCATTCGATTTAACACTATAATTTAACTACTTTCTTCCATACCTGTGCCGCTGAAATTACGTTTTTTGGGGTTTCTGTCATTTACTCCGAATATGCTGACTGACCGATAATTCGGTTTTAAAAACGTTTCTAAATATGAGATTGTTTAACACCGTGAAATGTCCGTCCATAAAACATCGTATCTTTGCTTTTACTAGTGTTGCTTGTAAAGATTACAATATGGCTCAGATGCACGGCTAATTATTCTGAACTATGTATGCTCTCCTCTTAATACCATAGAGAAATATAGGGTTTGGGTACGTGGAAAATGTATGGGCTGACATCTGTAAACCCTGAATGCAAGTGCAACGGCATTTAAGGTTCAGAATTATTAAGAAATTTGAAAAGTCTTTGAAAACGCATTATACGCTTTCTTAGAGTATAAAGTTGGAAGAAGACGTAATCTTCTACCGAATGAATAGAAAAAGGAATATTTTATGCGTGTTTTCCGTGAAATATAACTGAATATTCAGGGCATCAAAAATCGATAAAAAAAAGTTCATGCCAATAAAGTAGTCATTTTTTAAAAAGTGTAGTTTTTGCATGCGGCCGGGAAGATGTCTGTTCGAAAGCCAGCATCCTACCGTAGTTAAATTATTACAGAACTGTGCCGCATAGTGATTTATTTTAAAATCCTACTTAAATAGTCCTTCTGAAACGAAAACTCATTTTAGAATCTCAGTTACTTCAGTAGTTCGCACACCTACTGTAAGCCAATCCAAGAAGTAGTATCTTCTTCCTGACACTCAGTGCCAGATACTGTCCATTTGCCTTCTTATTTACCTCAGTCTGTCGAGCTAACTGAACTACTTACTCGAACATACAATAAATCCTGTCTCAGCTAACGACTTAATTTATGCCGGTCTTGAAACCCATCCCCCCCCCGACTGCCTGGCAACTAGATAAAAGAAGTATGAGTCGGATGTCAAAACCTGAAATCGATTGGCC